GGCCATCTGCATCAATGAGACCAATCACACAACAAAAGAACATACAAGAAGCAGAAGAGAGACCTCTGTCTTTACCATGTGGAACACTCAGCAGTGCCAGAATACCAAATCAACCAGGGTGACCAGATACAGTTTGACAACAGAATGACTTCAACAGGGCTGTGGAGTCAGTATTAAAACCTCCATATTATGTATTAATAATGGTACCACAAGAGATTTCAGCACCACCATGTTAATCATCAGGCTGCTTTTTAGACTTGCAACATATATTTAAATATACATATAATGGTTACTGCAGAAATCATTTGATTTGTAGACAGTTTGTTCTTAAGGTGCCGGAGCCAAAGTTACAAAGCATTATTCCCACACCATGTGGTTCAACGCGTCGTTGAATCCCCTAAGCGTGAGACCGCAGCCGGCTCACACGGTAGTGAAAGTGTTCTTAAGATTTTATATCGAGGTCGGAGTCGGTACATTTTTACAGACTCTGACTATACAGCCCTGGACTTCAATGAAGTTGCTCCAATACATCAGCAGAGTAATTCACAAAGCCTATGAGATTAACTTAGGCCAGATTTCAGATTCTCAGTAGTGAGCATGAAGATGACTGTCTTCTGGGTTTTTGCAGCATGTAGTCTGGTAGACACTTATTGACATTTCAAAGGTGCTTTCTGCCTCATTATCATTAATGGGAGTTTAATTGCAGAAAAACAGCATCTGGAATTGGTTTATTATTTGTCAGAAGTGTCAGCCACATAACTCTCTCAAAACATGCTAAAAATAATTCTGGGAGTACAAGAACTTTGGAACTTGTACTGAATTTTATTAAGAATTTGCAAAATTGTTGAGGTTCTACAATACACAGAACTGTACATGAACATAACTAAGCATTGGCCACTTTATATAAACTTAATTTTGCATTAATGTAGGTTTAAAGTTCAGGCTATGTGTAACATTCATATATTTTTCATGATTTAAAGCTCAAAATATATAGCTATATAAATAATGCTTTCAACTTGTGAGTACCTTGTTGGATTCCATGTTTAAATCACACAAAAGGGAAGTAATTTTTGAACCACAAGACTCAAATACATGTTTAGTTGTGGGTCATGGAATTAATTTTTCTTTTAAATGTTATATTCTCTTGAAATCACTTTAGCAGCTGTGATACACGATTTCTTTCTGCTGAGTTGAATTCGTAAGTTATTCCAGTTTAAGAAGTAAGAGCAGGCAATGACAAAATTGGCTCACTGCAAGAGGCAGTTCATCCAGGTGAACAAGGTATGTGGAAATTACTGCTGGTCCATGTGCATGTAAGAATCAACTTGGATTTCTCCAGTTTCTTCAAATTTCTCCATTATATATCCTAACCACCAGTTACTGCAGTAATTTAATCACTGACTGTGCTGAAGGGAATATTTTTGAACAGTATTTTTAGAGTATGAGTGTGTTTTTTCACCATCACAAAAGTCTCGGTAATGGGAATAAATGCACGATTGTGGGTGCCCATTACACGCTACACTAGATTAATCGTGGCTGTAGACTGACTCTGGCATCTTCCACTTTGCTAAATTCAATGTACTTCAGGTGGACAAAAATGTCACATCTGGCTGCTTCCATATACATAAAATGATATGCAATTATATATAACCTTTAATCAGATAGAGACACACAAACCTAGCTATATAATACAAAATGTATAATCAAACACATGACTGCAATAAATTATTAGTAAAATTTTAAATATACAGTAGAAGGTGTGAGGAAAAAAACAACAAAACATTCAATCCTATTTTAAACCATTTAGTGATAATGAATTAACATTTAATTCCAAAGAGGAGCTTGCAAAACAGTTCCCCCTTTCCAGAGAAGACTCCATTTTGAGAGGCTGCAAGATTAGCAATTGGCATGTGAAGGTCATGCTTGTTTCTCATATTGACTGCATTAAACTGTTAAGTTTGTCTGAACCACTTCTACCCTGCCCCCTTTGAATGCCTTTATAACAAGTAAATATGATTAGCTTTTTTTTGCACCTGCCACAATTCTAAATAACTTACTTCTGTAATATAAATATTTTGCTGTTAGAAAAGGAATGCCAGAGTATGTGACAACTGAGTGGAAACATCTTGTTTTTAGGATCTCTCTATTGTTTATTAATACAAGGGCCTTGTCACAAAACACGGTGCACTTAATCTCAGAAAAATGAGATCTACATGATTTTTCCAGTGTAACTATTAGCAATTCATAGACCATGGAACTATGTTTTACTTCCTGTGCATACTGATTATAGCTTATCTGCAAATCAGTTGTTGGTCTGTAATTAAAATAACAAGGTAAACTATTTATTTTTGTGTGTGGATGAAACTGGGTTACAAATTTCTGTTTCTTTGAATTCCACAAAAATTCTATAAAAGCCCTGTGATTATACATCAAGAGATTCACAACTCAGCAAAAAACCATATGTTAATCAAATGATTTTATGACAAATCATACCAACCATTGTAACAAAGTTGTATCATCAATTTCAGCCAAAATGGACTATTTGCAGTCAGGATCATAGTTATTAAAACCACTTAATTTTCTAAACAGTAAACAATCCATACCACTAGTCCACCTAGTATTGACTAAGCCATGGTTAATTATAATTAATCACTGATACAAAATACTTTTAAGGAACATATGTTTAAAAATCAATATGTACTTCTGTCACATACCCCCTGCACCTCTTCCAAATCAAGCAGTGAAACACATTATTGTTTATACTTCATTAAGAGCTATTAACAAGATTTCTCACAAGGCTATCATCTCAGTAGTTCCTTAACAATACCCTTTCCCTCTCACTCACAGCCATACTTTCCTTTGCAAAATACAAAGAATATTTTCAAAAAAATATATTCTAGATAGAGACAACAGCAATTATGTAGTGTCAGACCAAGCCATGGAAACCCGTAACTATGCATACCACAAGTTACTGCATTCCTGTAAATTTAATTACGAATATACATGATTGCGCTCTAGTGTGTATGTGTATATATAGTAATACATAACTAAAAAATACAATATAATCCTTCTTTTATTGGCCCATATTACAAAACTATTAGTCAATAGGCAAAAACTTTATGGAACTTTGGGGTGGAAAAAACGCTACTTGGATTATGGCTGCCATACATCTCTTGTAAAGTATAACTCAGGAGTATCGAATACATGCCATTTGAAATCAAGCACAGACTTTGGTCAAAAGCAAAAATCAAACAAGAACGTTAATACAGCCAGAAACACTTTCACTATCCCACAACATGTCATACAATCAAATAGGAGCTAAATTACCTCCCCATTCGTGACGTTGATGCCCAAATAGATGTCACCAAAGGAACCACTACCGATTTTTCGTACTAAACGATATTTTCCTCCCACAATAAACTCTTGTTTTGTTGATAAACTTGAGGTTGCCATTTTTAAGTTAGGTATATCGAGATGGTTTGAAATTCAGAAAGGTAAATGAACAAATTTAAATCAATAACACACACACTACCACTTCCACCAACACGCCGACATCTCTCTTCCAATGACTGACGTAGGAACAAAGCAGCTCAAAGCACTGTGGGTCTTGTTACAGACTACGGACTCATAGCAAACACAATAATAATCAATTCTTTAAGTTACACTAAACGCTCAGATAATATTCAAATACGCTATAATTATTAAACTTAGTTAATACAATTTAAATGTTATTTATTCTGTTTAATGTGCGAGTATTCATCTCATAACATTTAAGAAACAACCGGAAGAACACAACTTCAGTCAAATGTACATACGTCGTGTATGATTATACTTATGCTATAGAAAGTAAGGCATACAAAACAAAGTCATAAGGTATTGTTTTCTATGCAGTTTTTATTTTCCGTCTTGAAACACGATAGTTTACATTTATATTCACACAAACACACTACAATACAATACAACACAATGTTCACATTACAATAACACAAACTGTTATTATTAAAAAGCATGCCCCTGCAGGGTGACCAGCTCAACCCTTTTTTAATCAGTATACTAACGGGAATAGGGACAACCGGAGAGCTCTGTTTGGGCAGAGCAATGGACCTGTCGTAAGACAGAACACTTAATAATAATAATACTAACGGTCGATTTGATCCAGAGGAACCAAAGCCAGGCAGTGTGATGCTATACGTATGCATAAGATATGATCATCACATCTTGGTCCAAAGAAGATCTACAGACGTGTCTCAATAAACTGGGCTAATATAAATGGGTTTAAAATGAACGGAAGGACAACTGTAATTACGATGTTCCGGAAAGGAGGCACAGTAGCTACGAATAGCAGTCTTCTTCAAGTATGAGAAGTTTGATACAGTCGATACATTTAAACATTTTGCATCAACACTTTAACAAAATGGGATGCCATTTATGGAACAGATTAAACAAAGAATAATAGCAATGCTGAACATGAACAACTAGTACGTCTGTCCCTTGAAACAATAATACTATCAAGTGGTAATATTGTTTCAGTTGTGACATACACATTGGAGATGACATGCGAACACCAAACGGTGAGGAATCTGGAGGCACTGGAAAGAGAGAAAGGAATAAGGGCTTACGGTGGTCTAGCGGTTAGAACGCTGGACTTGTAAGACTGGGGTCCCGGGTTCGATTCCCGGCGGTGCTCAGATTTACAACTTGTGTTGGGCAAGGCCGTGGTCTAGGCATCACGGAGTTTTCGTCCGGGGTTTCCCCGGTTTCTCCGTGGTATCCCAACAATTACTCCACTTTCATCATCATCACAGCAGGAGCATTAAATGTCGCGGTCCCGATCGAAACCGGTCGTGAATCCTGCTAACCACCAATGCACACCATGCTGAATGGTGTATACTGGACACGAAAAAAATAAGGTTTTTACGATTCACAAGATTAACTCTGTCGCGCTTTTAGAATGCGTTCGTCAAAGATTGAAGTTACATCATGTTACACCATCAAATATGAAAATTCACAGAAACATTAAAGGACTCAGACCTGCTGTCCTGTGGACGAATTACCAATTTATATTGGCAAGACTGTAAACAGACAAGATTAAGAAGGACACGTATTATTGGGAAGTAGATTATAATTTCGCGTGGAAGAATATACTGCAAGGTAAAGCTTGCAATATGGTCTGTATATTGATTTAGAGACATGTGTTAATTGGGAACTAATTAGTTAGAGTGCTACTCTTGCCTTGTAAATAGATATTATGATCTTCATATACCTTATTCGGAAATCAGAGACCAGTGGGGAATCCCCAATATGACTTTTTCTTTGGTATTTTAAAAGCATTGAATCATGCATATTTACTTATTTTTCTTCATGGTTTTTTAAAAATTAGAGCCAAAGGCCCTTTTACCGTAAACCATAATTGATTTATATGACATTAATGCTTTCAGAATTCCATCCGTGCGCAGCGTACATGACACGTATGTGATAATTTTCTGCGACCGACTTGTTATTACTTAATAAGTTTTATGCCCATCATTGTTTTTAATGGTATACATAGTGCATTTTTGGGTATAAGTTGGGGTTTACCTTACAACATTTAAAAATGTTCCAGTTGCATTGTTATTGCATGCCCATCATTGGGTGTTTGTATTGACACTAGCACAGGATGATACTTTAAGATGTGAAGCTGAATTTCATAAACGCAACAACTATTCCATTTCCCTTGCAGCTGTCTGAAGTGTCTGTAAATATGTGAGAATTTGATCTCATAGTCTCAAACTAATTTCTTTTGGGAAGTTTTATGCCAAGGAAATGAAACCAATTATGTAGTTGAACATGTATGTAAGTGACATTTAAAAGCTGTACTGTTATGAAAGTACAGTGTGTGTGATGAGTCTCTTCCTATTTCAGAGCAGTTGTGTGAATATTATTTTTGAAGGAACTGTGCTGACAGTGCAGAAGCATACGTGGAAATTTGATATATTGTGCATAAAATCTTGCTGAATAATCTGTCATTTACAGTTTCATTCAGATCAGTTCAAAAATAAAATGTCTGCAACCATTTTAAAAGTTGATAGTGGCAACATATACCTTGTTCATTTACTGCACAGGTATTCTTTGGCATAGGCCTCTCAGTTATTATAGTATTTTTTTATATATTCTGGATTGAAATAATTTCAGCTGTAAATGTTAGTGACTAAATAAGTTGTATGTTTGGAATAAAGGACGGTATACATTAATTACTACTGAATAAAAAAGTAGCTCCTTTGCTGTTTATGAGACATGGTATTTTTAGATAAGAACAAATTTATGTTCTGTATTCATTATTAGTCTTTTTCTGTATGTAACACAGTGTGACATAAAATCAGTTCATATACGGCTTATATTGGGATATTTTTGTGTACCAGTATCTCCTGTCTCACTTCTACTCTGTAGAATAATTTACCTCAACCAAAAATTCTCAGCAATTATAAATACATGTAAACAACAGTTGGTATGTTTTGTGGTGTAATTATTTTTGTGACATACTATGGTTAACCATAAATTAGTCACAATTATGTAATTTATGATAGAAACAAGTATTGTATTTGTGCTATTATGTGCTCTGTGTGTGGGCCTTTGAAGGATCTGTGGAATTTAAATAAATTCTGTTCTATTCCAGTATGCATTAGTATTGTAAAGTTGTATGTCTTTTACAACATTGTGTCTGTTTAGGATAAGTAAATATAAGTACTTAATGAAACCATTTCAGGCTATTGAGATATTATATTAATATACATGTACTATGTACTGATGTATACATTCCTTTAATACTTTATTTCAGGTTTTAAATGATGGATTCTTCGTTCTCAAGTGATAAGTCTTCACCCAGTGTGCTTGAAATAGACAGAGTAAATAAACCAGCTGCTTCTCTGGGAAACTCCACATTGACTGATTTTCCTTCAAGAGATGAAGTTGTAGAACAGAATGTTGTAGAGTATGATGACGTTAACAGATGTACCTTCTCAAATGACAAGTCTTCATCCAGTGTGCTTGAAATAGACGGAGTAAATAAACTGGCTGCTTCTCTGGGAAACTTCACATTGACTGATTTTCCTTCAAGAGATGAAGTTGTAGAACAGAATGTTGTAGAGTATGATGACGTTAACAAATGTACCTTCTCAAATGACAAGTCTTCATCCAGTGTGCTTGAAATAGACGGAGTAAATAAACTGGCTGCTTCTCTGGGAAACTTCACATTGACTGATTTTCCTTCAAGAGATGAAGTTGTAGAATATGATAACATTAACAGATGTGAAGGGAAAGAAAACAATCATGTAGTAGAAACATTAAAAACTGGAAAACAGTTGCATGCAGAAACCCATGATGATAAACATTTTTTGAGGGAACAGTTAAATATGCTGGAGTGTCCATTTACTTGGAAAATACAAAATGAAAGTATTCGTGAAACACCTGAATCAATCATTGCACGAACATATGAAAAAATGGAAGAAATTGAAGACGAAAGTAATTTTCAGTGGCGCAGATTTATCTTCATGCTTGTTATTTGTTATGAAAATTTTCGTAAAGGTGACATTTCAGTATCATTGGATAAACAGAGAAGATGTGAAGAAATTCTTAATCCGTCAGATTCCAAAGGAATATATGAAAGTTTGTTTCAAGCAATAAAAGATGCTTTGTCACATGTTATCTATTCATGTAAGTGTCACCTGTTTCTTGAAAGTGGTGTACTGAATGAGACAAGACGAACACTTGAAAAGGTGCGTAAATATGAGGAAATGGAAAATAAATGCAAAGCTGGCATTTGGGGCATTCGAGCAGCTGTCTCAATGGAATATGGTTATGAGGGAACCAAGGTAATTGTGCTGTGTTGGTACTGGAATGTTCATGTGTAAAATGTAGGACTAGAGGACTGCATATGTACTTTTTCTTATCTTTTCCTTTTGGCCTTCTGAGGGAATGAATACATACGCAATCATACATATCTACACTTAGGAAGGATTTTTGTGATCAGTATCTTAGAAACAAATGGACATAAATTGATGGTTTAGAAATGATTACATACATAAAATATGGATTTTTTGAGCTGATTCAGTCTGTCTTTAAACTGTCAGTTTTTAGTGAGGGAGATAAAGTTTGACATCTTCAGTTTCTTCAACAACATGAATTTGTACCACAGAATTTGGCAAACTTTAATACTCCATCAGTTGTGTTTTATTTCTTAACATTTGGCTTTGCACCACAAAACGAATATGACTAGAATTTATGTATTTTGATCAGTGATTCAGATTTCAAGAAAATAATGGGGTGAAATCAAAAGCTTGGTGAATAGGAGAGGAAACAGAGGACAGGAGAAGGAAAAGAGAAAAAAATGTACCTGAATGTATTAAAAATTATCTTGATCATAATATAAAACATTAAAATTTAGGAAAGGAAATGGTTTGTTTTCTTAATTTATAGTAGATAAACAAGCAATATGAAGGGGGAACAGAACACCTAGGAAATGTAGCTGTAATTTGGAGAATAATATTAAAATGGTGTATGATTATATATTGGATTCATCTAGCTCATGATAGAGTCCAGCCACAGGCTTTCACTAACACAGTATTGAACTCTCAGGTTCCATGAAAGACAAGGAATTTCAGTTGTTCCTGGCACTTGCACCCCTGATGTTGTTAGGGCCCTTCAAATAGCTAAGGAATTCCATGATTACCTTATCAATAAGAACACTGCTTCATGGAGTTGTTTAATTAGACATTAATAAGTGTCCTAAAATAAGAAGCAAAACAAATCTGGTTAAGTTGAAGTCCCTGGTGCTTAACCAAGCACACATTCTTAATCTTGGCACAAAGGTTGAGATGTGTGATCAGCTTCATGCCCTGGCCACTTTACTCCTAAGGAAGAACCCTGATATCCACTGGATAAGATGCTGGATGAGCAATGTGGTTAAAAGAAAAAACCTGCTCCACTAGAAATCAAACCCCAGTTATCCAGCCCGTAGTCTAGCCACTGTACTGAGTGACTTATCCCAGTTTAAAGAGTTTAAGTATTCTATGTATATATTCAGACAAGATTATGAGAGAAATATGGTGCAGTAAGGGCATACTGAACTTTTGGCTGTTTTCTGCATGTCATGGTATTGATATTTATTGTTAGGTAAAAGGAATTAATGAGAGGAACCACTCAAAATTACTAAAAAGTAGATTTGAGGTTCTCACAGGAGTAAAAGTGTAGATGTTCTGGGTTGTGACATGTGGACTTGGGCAGATACAAACACTGTAGAGAAATATGCTGTCTCCTGAAAATGGAGACAGTATGTTTCTCTGAAGTGTTATCTACCTATGAGTCTACATGGTCACAACCCAGAACATCAATAAATTAAAAATGATTTTTTTCAAGAATCTCTCTGACCATTTTGCAGCACAGATACATTAATGATGTTGGGAACAACCTAATAAATTTTCATTACATTGTAACTTCATTATACTTGATACCTTTTTACACTAGAAAGTTTTAAAAGTATGGTTAAATTAATTAATGTGAACACTTCTTAGATTGTAGAACTGTTGCTTCACAAAATGAAACTATAATTTGTGTTTACATTAAATTCTTTAAGGCTGCAGTTGAATATATCAAGAAGGCTCTAAAACTGGACCCACAGCAGGGTGAGTGGCAGTTTTTGTATGCAAAATGCCTTGGTCGTCTTCGTCGAATTGACAATTTCAATGAGATTCCAGCAAAGGAGGAACTTAAAGCACTGGAAAATGCTGTTAAAATGACAAAAAATCCTTCGTATATAATTTTCTTAGCACAAGCTTACAGAGAAGCATCATTCAGGGTTTACTCCCTCCATAGAAATAATCTATCTTCTCTAAAGGCTGAACTTGAAAGAATGAATACACGCTCAGCTGAACTTTATAGGTAAGTTGGACTTCTGAAACAGAATGCAAGTAATCATAGTGCATATATGTTGTTGTGGATCTTGGACTTCTTATGGAACAATGGCCTAATTTCATTATTGGCTGTTATATAGCCAGGACATTAGTTTGTTACAGTCACCCATAATTTCTTCTAGAAAGATGGGATATTTGCTTTTAACTCCATCAGATATAAAATATTTATGTTCTAAGTAAATTTGAGGGCTGCATACTTTACAGTATTTTTTTACCTTATGACGCATAGCAAAGAGGCACTTGAAAATGGCTGTCATCTGGGTTGTTGCGCTGTATAGTGTGGTAGAAATTTATTGACGTTTCAGAGGTCCTTGCTGCCTCCATCTTCAGACTACATGGCACAACCCAGAAGACTGCCATCTTCAGACACACCGCCTTGAAGACCTCACATCCTACAAAAAAGCTCTTGTTGGGTGCTTTCATCATGTGGAAGTGGGATGCATTACAAAGGAACATGTTGCCTTTTTCATCTAGGCTGAAGTGACTACACACACAGCACATCCTGCTTTCACGTGATTCAACCATCCAAAAGCAAGATCAAAATCAACAGTGAATCATCATGAACACTTAAAATCAGTTATCCAACATTTTACCTTGCTAAGTCATCATGAGTAAATATGATATGGAAATTCTTTTTCACCCCCAAGAAAAAGGCTTCAGATCAGCCCTTACCTTAAAACATGTAAAAATTGATTTTTTTCATTTTGGAATCCATCTCTTCAAAATAAGCTACACAGAGATAATAAATGAAGCTGTGTTGATGTGGTTAAGCTTTACCTTGAGGTGAGGTGAGCTTACATGTAGGAACACAAGAGATTTAGAAGCTACACCCACCTTCCAGACTATGCTAACCCAAATGCAGACCTGATGCAGGTGTCCCATATCAAAACAATGAATTCTTCATCTCTGTCAGACCAACATTAATTAGCAGAGAGAAGGGGTGAGGTGGGACAACCATGTGAGAGGCATAGGAAAGGATCTTGGGGTAGATATAAATGAGGTACTGGGTGAGCTAAATTGACATAGCCAAGAAACAGCTTGGCTCAGATACTGATTCCAATGTTAGAGAAAATTAGATGCACTGAAATCACAAAGTTCACACATATAATATTCTTCATTCCCCACTTTGTTTCTCATGTGTCCAAATATTTTCTGTGCACTCTGTTTTCAGAGAATTGTAATATATGTCCATGATGACCGCATTTTTCACTCATACAAAAAGGTAATCCGATGATTTTGAAGGTAGCTGAGATGAAGAGTACTGGCCTGGATAGCATCAAGCATGTCCTGGCTATATTCTCTTGATTTCTTCATGAGTGTCATGCTTGTTTCTGTCATTCACTGGTATTTACATTTTCAAATGGTGTACTACCTATAATCGTGTACTCTGTTGCAGATTTTGGTGTTGTATTTGTATATTCACTATGCTGTAAATCCAAGAATGAAGCCTTTCAGATTTGTAACATATGCTGGGAATTAATCAGTTTCTTTAATTTTGAAAGTTTGTGATGATGGTGCATTGTTGAAGCAAACTGTTTTCTGGACATTATCCATCGTCCAAGATTAAATAAAGTCAAATCAATAAAACCATGACATTTTGGAGATAGGAGTCTGTTTCCTTCTTCAGGTAAAACCTACTCTGTTGGGCCCAATTTGAGGTAGGGATTGGCTCTATCGATGGACCCAACAGAGTAGGTTCTACCTGAAGATGGAGAGACTCCCATCTCCAAAACATCGTGATTTTATTTATTTTATTAATCTTGGACATTGGATAATGTCCATAAAACAGTTTGCTTCAGCCAGTTTTTATTTAATTAGGAATGTCCTGAAAATGTGCATTACTTTTAAATTTTTTTTAGGGAAGCACTGAATTTGAGAAGTAACTGTGCACACATCAACATCCGCTGTGCTCAGGGCTTCTCTAAACTTCCTGCTCCATACAGAGATTTAAGACTAGCAAAAAAGTGTTGTTATAAGGCTCTAGAACTTGCTCCCAGTAATGCAATGGCTAATCATGTCGCAGGATCTATCTTTGATTGGTATGAGAGAGATTTAGAAAAAGCAAAGAAACACTATCAGATGGCTGGTGAGCAAGGTTCTTACGGTGCATATTTGGACCTCTACAAATTGAAGTTCAGTGAGGTAATCATAATTTATTGAATGCCAGAATTTTATTACAGGGTTTTGCCTTTTGTGTCCAGCCAAATTTTGGTGTCTTTTTCATAAATTAAAAGGTTTTGGCTTTGGACACTGGAATAATTAGGTAATTCAAGTGGTCAAATGTATTAACAAATTGATATATAATAGGAAGAAAAATAATTGCAATGGACTTCCCAAGGAGACCTGTGTTCAAAAGTGGAGGATGTTCATTAAAGTTATTTAGTTGATAAAATGGCAAAGTGGGCAGTTAAAACATTTTCAGTTTTCTACCTGTGGTAAACTACATATAGAATGCTAATTAGAGTTTGTTAGCCAACTTAAATTTAGTCATGGACTGGTTGGGAAACACTGAAATAAAGGAATAAACATTGCAGAAGTACAAATTTTTCAATGAGACCTTATGGTTAGAAAAATGAGTTCTGATCATAAAGTTTGACATTTCACTGTTGTAATTTGAACATGCATATTAGGACAGTTTAACATGCTCTATATTTATCAGCTGTTATGCTTACTGGTTAACATAGTATAAAGCTGGAGCATCATAATATAATATAATACAGAGTGAACACAAAAGAACTTTATACATTCAAATGTGACATACTTTGAACTTCACACGTACATCAATCAGTAGAAAAAAACTCAAAGTTTTGTATACACCTCGCAGAGACTCGATATGTGCTCCACGAGTCACAGAGCAGATGATACGATAATCCAACTCATCCCAAACTTTGTGCATAGTGTCCCATTTGAAAATGCACCTTGTCTGCTCAAATTGTACCAGGCATAAATGGATACTCTGCTGGATGGTTCCATGTGAAATTACATGCAAAATACATTTGCACAGCTGTTTCAGACACTTTATTTGCTAACTGCAGAACATACCAATTCCTCTGTTGTGGGGTAGCCATTTTCAAAATTAGTGGCATCTAGCAGAGGCACACAACAATCACCCAGGTCATTTTAAACAAAACGAGAGGTTTTGTATCAACTGATGTGTGTGTGAAGTTTTCAACATTTGTTTTCAGTATCACTTTGAAAGTGTAGTGTTCTTATGTGCTCACCTGGTCTAATATCATTTCATGCAGGTAATGGTATGTACATGAAAGTTTAGTACTACCTGAGGATGGCTAAATACACCAAAACATGTAAAACACATACCTGCTCACATTAACAACAATTCAAATAATAAATTGTTTCTTGAGGTATGACATGTAACACATGTTGAGGTTTTAGGTTATGACACACTTCCAAAGATTCGGGTTTGTTAACAGCATGCACACTTTCAAAGATCACTGATGAGGCAGCATATAATTCTGTGTTTAAATCTTGGGATTTACTGTATAAGTTTTTAACACTTAAACTAACTAGATTGCTTACAGAACCTGAAGGTTCATCACCGAATTCACGAATGCCCTCCACCAGACTGTTCTGGGCCAACAAAATCCAGTCTCCTTCAACTCATAAATTAAAAAGTAACAAAAGCATTACATATCCAAATGTAATACATGTATTTCCTTTCCATAGACGTTACTGTTTGACAGATTTAACGCTTGCCTTAGGTTTCATTTTGTAATCCTGGTTTGTACGTATCAGAGTATCAAAAACCTGTAGGGAATATATCCAAAAGTCATGATGTATGAGTACTGCACTAATTATGAGCACAAGTTTCATAGTTTGGCTTTGAAGATTAAGTCTATAGACCTTCACTTGTTGGCATACATATAACTAGAATTACTTGTATTCATCATCTTATTTACAGAACGACAAATATGATCCCATCCCTGATTTTGAGTTTCTGCTGAGCCGTTTTACAGAGAAACCAAGAGTTGAGGAGACCCTATGTCAAATGGGCTCCTTCTACCTTTTCATAAGGAATGACCTGTCTACAGCTTATAAGGAATACTGGAGTAAGGTCATTTCTGCTACTCCAGATTCAGACAAGTTGAAGGTAATACAAAGTAATATACCATTGTATTTATGTGTGTGTTTGTAGGCACTTTTATACGAGGCGCGTCCCAAAAGTAAGTTTCCCTGGGGCCGTTTACAGAAACAAAACACAATTTCATGGAAATATTTATTGCAACAGATACAGCAAGTGTCCAGCTATTTTTCAACATATTCGCCACCAGAATTGAGACATTGGTCATACCGTGGGACCAACTTTTGAATACCTGGG